TTTTTTTTTTTTTTTTTTTTATGTTTTTAAAAACTGGCATTATTTTCAAAATGGATCAGCAAAAAAAAAATATTTATCAAACATATTTTTATTTTCATTTGTCCCAAAAATTGAAAAAAAATAGAAACTTGCAGTTACCAAGCGTAATCTTAATTATTAGGTTGTGTGTTTTGATTCTACAATTTTTATTTATTTATTGAGATTGAATTCGAATTCACTTGATGATGTTATTGTAATTAATCACGAATAACCCCAACTATTTTTATTCAATCACAACATATATGATTGATTGTAGTTTTAGATCCTCAAAAGATTATGACTTAGCATATAAACGTTGTTACTTTAGTACGATAACAAAGAAAATACCCTTGTGGTTCTAAACAAACCAAATATTTTTAATTGAAAGCACATCGCTTGGCAATTTGAATATTAAATGTACCTTTGATATTCAATGGTACATTTAATTTATCAACATCAAATATAAAGAAGGGCGTGACATCATGGACAACCTCTTAAAAGTAGCCTTTCAAAGTCACATCCGAACGAAACATTACATGTGATTACTAATGATGCACAAAATAATTTTAAGCATGATCAATAATCGAGTGTGTGATAAAATGTCATTAACGAGTCAATTAATAAAATAACTAATGGCAAAAATATAAATATCGGGTCAATATATAGATATATAGTAATTCGGTTTAGATGACCTACTTTATTTCAAAAAATGGCAATGATGGGCGGAGAATCTTTATTAATGAATAAAGTAAAAGAGAGAAAGCTCCGGGAGAGGTATAATAACTAGGAGAAATAAAAGTTATGTGAGAGGTGTGTAGAGATACATCCTCTTATGTGGAGAAGACTTATAATTTATAGACATTGAACCTTAGTTGAAACAGTAATGTGANGGGGGGGGGGGGGGGGGGGGGGGGAGTGTTTGGAATGTGGAGAGATGATTGAGGAAGACAGCTAGAAAGAATAAAGAAAGATACTGAAATAGAAATTGGATGAATTAATGAAGGTACTCTTAATAGTTTTCTGGATTTTGTGAGGGACATCAGGTTTCCAAACAACAATTCCATGCTTAGACAAATTTAATATACAAACTAGGGGAAAGTTTACGGTACAAAAAAAAAAGGGCATTTAACTGTCAATTACCATTTTTTATAATAAAATTACAACTTTACAATGAGAAGTTTCAACTGTTTAAGGAAAAATTATGATCGATCAGAGACACCCATGATCGATCATAAACTATCGATATCAATCATGACTTTCTATGATCAATCATGCTTTTTAAAGTTGTCACTTACACTTTAAAAAAATTATAATTTAATCTTAAAAAATTATAATTTTCTGTACAGTGTCATAGCCTTTCCCAAAAATTTGAAGGAAAAGTTTATATGTTGAAAAATACTACACATCCCAAATTTAACCCAAAAATTAAAACCCGCATATCATTCTCTGGATGAATGTTAGATGAGTGGAACATACTAAAAAAATTAATGAAATTCATTCATCCAAATGATGATATGCATTTGGTTGCAATTTTTTGAATTTCATTTGAGTTTTTTAACATTACTCTTGTATGTTTCGTCCATAAATGAGGTGTTTTGTCTGTATAAACAACCCAGATTTTGGAATACATCAATCTTGGAGGACATCAAAACAAACTGAAAAAAATTGATTAAAGAGATTTTTGTAGACATTAAACAAGAGAGACCCAGCTTTATACGGCTTATGGCTCTCATGAAGGGGTTTTTCAGCACAGCTAGTTGGCCAATGTCTGCTCTAGTCAGTAGCATTATCTCTATCCTGGACTTTAGCTAAATTTATAATCAGGCCCATCCTTATAAGTTCTTCAACAATTCATTATCCTGACAAATGAACTGATTTCAAATAGTCAATTAATGAATTCTAAACAGCCTTTTTTTTGTTCACCCTTCCAACTGAAAATCTCTAAACCGCAAGCCAGAAGACTGAGTGATGGGTTTTTCTTACTTAATTCAAAATAAGGTGAAAAAATAAATAAACAATAATCCCAACNACTTTATTATATAGATAACGGTGGCATCATGTTATTATTATTATACGGTGTCACCATATGATAATAATTCAGATAATAATTCAATTTGTAATTAAGTGAACCTCACTTATTTCGTAATTACCATGTTCATGTTAGAAAATAGAAAAATATTAGTTGAACTTAATTTGGAGATTTAATTCAATGCAACTATTAGATTAAAAGTGGACTTCATCTATAACTAATTCAATGAATATATTAAAACTTATAACTAATTCAATGACTACATTAAATTAAATCTTTCTGATCTTTCATTGGTCATCCAAAAAATCGGTCATTTCGGTAGAGAACAGGCTAAACAATTGTCCTCAATCAGTTTGATAGTATTTCCAATGTTAACTCTTTTGATCTATATCAAGGCTCTATGTCAAGAAATAACCAATTTATATAAAGAAGTGAGACTCATTTTGTCTACTTGTAAGTTTGTTATTAAATGATAATATCCCATAATCAATGATAATATATATAGTGTCACCGCCATTGCACCCAATATTTACTCCTCTGTGTGTGG